AACGAGCTTTTAAATGTTTTAAACGATTTTCGACGCCAGCGAACCAGATCGCGTTCAAGCAGGCAAGGGCGAGGGCGAGACGTGCGGAACGGGAGGCGAAACGGCGTTCATGGCAAACTTAATCAACAGCATCAACCGGTTTACACCCACAGCTGACGTGTGGAACCGCATTAGGCGTATTTCTCGCCGGAGACCGACCATGCCGGTGCCAGTGTGGAGTTGTCACAGCGACCACTGCTACGGACAGATTTGAGGTTGTAAACGCATTCGGTCGTGCATTTTCAGCACGGTCCGAACTGAGCGCACGGGATCTAATGTTCATCCGCCACAGGGGCGTCAACGAACATCTGGCTTTGGACTTTAATTCAGACAACATGGAGATGTGCAACGCCGTTCTCACATGGTGGACTTCACATCTGCCATCACCAATACAAGGAGCGTGGCGCCAGGCCATGATAACATCGCAAGTGATATGCTTGGACACCTGTCAACTCTATCGTTTGCGTACCATTCATGGAATTTCAGTTTTATCATGGGAAACCGACTTATTTCTACGGCAGTGGAACGAGTCCATTGTCACCTTAATTTTAAAACCCCAGAAGGACGGCACAGAACCCTTAAATGACTCATATCTGTTACGTCCGCGCTGCCACGTACTCGTGCCGGTCGCGCGTGTCGGTCCACACACTGCTAAAAAAGGTCGCTCTGTATTTGCCGGGACTGGTACACAACAGCCGCGTCCAACCCCCGGCGTCTCCTCACTGGAATACCCCGCCGGCGGATTGTCCAGGTTTGGGAGTGCAAAGTCTAGTAATAAAATATAATAAATAAATATGTAATATGACACTCATTTTCGAGCTATCAGGCAAAGCGTAGACACATGCACGCACCGCTTTGTCCAGGCGTGGGGTCGAATCCCGCTGCCGCCAACTCTTTTCAGCAGAGTTGAGGTGGAACACTGAGTGAATGCGGCCACTGGCTGGGAACAGAATGATTGAGTGCAACAATATTATGATTGGCTATATATATATATATATATATATATATATATATATATATATATATATATATATGCACATTATGTATAGTCTGAAGATGCAGCTGCTGCGATGTGAAACGTACTACGAGTTATTACAAGAAATACACATGAGAACTTTTTACATCGATAAAATTTACCTCACAGGTGTTATGCAGCCGTCGGGCTACACGCAACAGCATATGGCTGGGGTGCATAGCGTTATTGTGCCTGACGCATGGGACCTATCGCGACGGTAGCGGTCCAAAGCTGACCGTCCCCAACGCGGCCAGAGGTAGGACCAGGCACTGTGTTAGGTTGTGATGCTGGCGGCCCCTGCTGTGCAGGGTGCTTAAAAGCGGGATGGTAAACATTATAATGATAGGTGTCATAATGGTGAGCTGTACTGCACATTGGCCCTGATATGGCAAAATTGATAAAACTTCTCTGATTGATGGAGGTTTGGTATGAGGTGAATACAAGCATCTTATCACTGGCTACACTGAATAACTGAACCTGAAAAGCTTGCTTTCACATTACAAAACCTTCAAAATAACTATCTAGAACTTGGATATGACACAATTTTTTATTCCTCATCAAGCCCTGTAATTTATAACTTAAGCTTCCATCAACTGATCTCAGGGTAGGAAAGGTACGCCTGAGCAGCTGGAGTGGAATGGGTAGCTTAGACAGATTTAGAAGATGCATCAGTATCTGAAACATATGCAGAATTGACTCAAGGCAATACAAATTCTCAATGGACCTTAGATTGCCCCAAGCCATGCCCCATTTATGCACATTTGTACATAAATGCAGCATGTTGTATTGACATAATATTTCTGTACCACCTTGTACTCAACATTTGCTCATATTGTTACAAGGAAATTGTGTTGATATAAATTACGCAATGATGTGTAACAGATACAATGCTGAGGAAAAGGTTACAGCAAGCATCCAGAATATTGCGATATTTGACATAAAACATCAGTTTCTATAAATGTCAAATCTGAAATCCTCTTTTGCATAAGCAACCATTCCATGATGTCAAAATGAATGTGATAGCCCTGTATCCTACATGATCTCAGTATTTCAGCATGAGGCTTAACATAAATCATAAGCGATGATTTACCTTACTGTCACTCATCGGAGCCGTCAGCTACTACCAGAGGCTGCTGCCAGACCTGGCAACTGTCCTGGCACCGTTGTACGCGCTGCTCAAGAAAAACACGCCGTGGAGGTGGACGGCAGAATGCTCGGAAGGCGGTGTCGAGGGTAAAGAAAATCCTGTCATCTTCCCCCGTGCTGACGAGGTATGACCCTAAGTTGCCTCTCAAGCTGGTCACCGATGTCAGTTCAACAGGACTGGGGACAGCCTTGCTCCATGTAATGCTGAAGTGGCCCGTGAGCTACGCGTCCCGGACGCTGGCGCCAACGGAAAGAAGATACGCTCAGGTGGAGAAGGAGGCAGCTGGAGTTTGGTTTGGTGTCCGGCGTTTCCACCAACGCCCTTTTCGGGAGGCCGTTCACTCTGGTAGTGGACAACAGGGCGCTGTCCAGAATACTCAGCCCTGACAAGGAGCTGCCATGGCTCGCCGCGGCTTGGACGCAGCGGTCCGCCCGCAGCTGGCGGCTTATCAGTACCGTGTGGAGTTCCGCAGGACGGAAGAGATTGGGCTGCCGACACGCTCTCGCGAATGTCGGTGGCAAGCCCTGAGGATGAGCAGACAGCAGCTGAGGAGGAGGCAATCACCGGCAAATCTGTGTCCTGTTCCTGGCGGACAGCGGACCAGCGCTGACGGCGACGGGGATCGCTGCAGCTACTCGCCGTGATCCCGCGCTGGCGAGAGCGCTGGCGGCATCCGGTCCGGCCGGGCGGCAGTCGTCGATCCGGATCTGGTGCCCTACAAAACGAGGCAGAAGGAGCTGTCTACGGATGCGGACTGCATGCTTTGGGGAGGCCGTGTGGCGATACCGCATGCGCTCCGCGCCCAAGAGAAAAGCGAACTTCACGAGGGTCACTTCGGGTGCGTAGGATGAAACAGCTAGCCCGATGCTTCGTGTGGTGGCCGGACTTGGACGCCGAGCTGGAGGCTCTGGCCAGGGACTGTTCGGCATGTGCAGCTAAAAGAGCGGAGCCGCGGCATGCTGTTCGTCACCCATGGGATCCAGCAGGAAGACCATGGCAGCGGGTCCACGTGGACTTTGCCGGACCAATCTTTGGAAGCAGCTTCCTGGTGGTAGTCGACAGCTACAGTAAGTGGTTAGAGGTGATAGCCATGAAGTCGACCACCGCTGGACGGACCATAGCAGTGCTGTGGAACATGTTCGCTCGCTTGGGTCTACCGTTGCAGCTCATGAGTGATAACGGCCCACGGTTTGCTTCAGAGGAGTTTCGCCATCTTCACGGCAACCAACGGCATCAGACACACTAAGGTGGTGCCGTATCACACGTCATCGAACGGGCTGACAGAGCGGGCCGTAGGAACACTAAAAAACGGCCTGAAGGCAGCAGTGGAGAACGGGATCTCCTTGGATCGCGCGCTAGCACTATTCCTGCTAGCGTACCGCTCGCCGCCGCACGTTGTGACGGGGCGAACGCCGGCCGAACTACTATACGGCAGAAACCTGCGGCCTCGCCTCAATCTGCTGATTCCAAGCGCCGACAGTATTCTACAAGCGGCGCGGAAGGACCAGCGTATGGCAGCCGGGGGCCAGATACGCGAGTTCCAGCCGTTGGCAGCAGTCTTGATGCGCTCTTACGGCACCCGGCAGGCGTGGGTTCGTGGCAGGGTGGTGGCACGGCCGGGACAGGTGTCCTACGAGGTAGACGTTGGTGATGCGGTGTGGTCGCGGCACGTAGACCAGCTATTGACAGCAGGAGACCTCCCAAGCACTTCCCAAAGGACAACTTCTCCTGGTCGTGCAGAGGCTGCGCATGCCGGTGAGCGGCGCCCGCAACCTACCAGCCGGCGTGCCGTTGAGCAGCGCCCGCAATGTGCCAACGAGTGGCACCAGCGCGGAGTACGGCACCAGCGCAGAGTGTGGCGCCAGCGCAGAGCGCGGCACCAGCGAGGAGCGCGGCACCAGCGAGGAGCGCGGCGCCAGCGCAGAGCGCGGCACCAGCGCGGTGCCGGTAGGCGGCCCCGGTAGGCGCGACAGCGACGTGCGCCCGGGGCGGTCGCGGCGCGCGAGAGCAAGGCTGAAACGCCTCATTGAAGAGTGAAACTAAGGGGGGGGGGGAGGGGCAGGGTGTGGTGTCGCCGCCCTAGTGTACACTGATTATGGATGGCGCGTCGGCGCCGTTTGGCCGGCCGGACAATGCGCCGGCGGGGCAGTCCAACGAGGGAGACGCTCGGGGTTAGAATTGGCCGTTGTGCACCAGTCCCGGCAAAAACAGAGTGACCTTCGTGGCTGTGTGTGAACTGACACGCGCGACCGGCACGAATACGTGGCAGCGCGGACGTAGCAATATCTCACTCACGTCTTGCGTGTGCAAGATCTTTGCTATGATGATGGATGCCAGGCTCATGTGTTCTTTTTTTTTAGAAAGGACAGCTTTTGTCGAATATGCCGTGCGGTATTCGAAAAACGATGCGCTGTTCACCAGCAGATCATTTTAGACACCACCGTTCGGGAAGTCTTTAAACAAAAGCAACATATGTTTGCAATGTTTATATGGCTTCCAGGGCGCCTTCGACACAACTTGGCGTCACGGCATTCTGTCAGAACTTCATAAATGTGGTGTACGTGGACACATGGGGTAGTGTTTACCGTCAGCACGAATGGCGATCACATATCGGACGCTCCATCAGCACGCATGCCTCCACGCATTCCAGGTGACAACCGTGCTGACGACAGATCGGACGGGGCCCGGGTGAAAAATTGGTGAAAGAAACAACTAAAATTTCCTTGACAAGATGGAAGTAGTTGAGACAGGTGTGACGCTGTTGAGACAAATCTAGCGTATTTTACTCTGCCGCTGCCATTACCTTTATTAACTGCCCATTTCTTCTTGGAACGTGTTTTTCGCGGTCCCCCGTGACCGGTGTTTCAATGCATTACTCGACCAGAGCGACTTGAGCTGCTCCAGGATATCGTAAGTTGCCCCATTTCAGTATATTTCTTCCTTGAAGTTTTAAACACCTGCCCCAAAGCTTATATTTTTCCCCGACCCTGCCCCAACGAGATCTCGTCGAGATGTGCCGCGCGCTCCAGGCTGGCGCATGTGCGTGTTTCTGTTTGACAGTTTATATACCCTTTGTATGCACTGACATTTTTCTCAAATTTCCAGATGTCGGTCGTTATTGAAACAACTGTCGGAGATCTCACTGTGGACCTGTTCTTAAGGGAACGACCCAGAGGTAAGACTGTCTCTGTTTATGTGAAAATAGTGTGTGTGCCTTGCTCTTAAGAAGAGACTACACTTTGGATATTTTTATGGTGAAAAACTTATGCAGTAAGCTATGAGGAATGGCCTTCAGTTGACAATGGACCAGCCCAAAAGGCATGGTTTTTATGCCTGTGTTTCTCTCATTTTCTATGAACTTGGTCAGGCTACTTTGTGCTGTAGTCTGAAACATGTAACTGCCATAGATTTGTGACCCATTATTCAAAATGTCTTTTCTGATTATGACACCATCAACATGAACTATGTAATGCATCACTGCACATTGGCATCAAGTGGATGCCATGATTGATTTTTAGTCTGAACTGATTGGTATGTGGGATTTTGGGTGAGATAGTGGGATGGGATTTTGTGGGCTATAAATTTTTCATTCATAGCACATGATTAGCAATCTCCATGTTATCAGCTATAAATGATGCTACCAGCTATGATAATGCAGTTGTTTTTCAGCTTGTCAGAATTTCTTGAAGCTGTGCAAGCTGAAGTACTACAACTTTTGCTTGTTCCACACCATTCAGCGAGATTTCATTGCGCAAACTGGTGATCCGGCAGGCACAGGAAAAGGAGGAACAAGCCTGTATGGGTATGTTGGTGGTGGTATAGAGTGAACTTTACATTTGGGGTCCTAAGGATAAGAGGGATCAAGGAGCAAATTGTAAGCTACAGGTACAGGCACTGTCATACCATCACAATTTAATTTATCAAATTGCAATTAAATTGCTTGTTTATGTGATCAGCCATTTCCAAGTATACATTTACATGTACTATACAAACATAGTGCCAAATCATGACTCCTGTCTTTTAGTCAAAAGCAAATAGGTGAGGCTGTAGCATAACTCTTTATTGTGTAACTTTACATGTTTAACTCTCACATTCTGCCCAACTGTTGCCCCCTGAAGGTGACCCTGCATAATGTCTTCTTGCATATTGAAAAAGACTGGATCAACTGATCTTCACACTCTTAGTATTTTCCCTTCATTTATATTTTTAGTATATACCTCTCCATTTCATCTTCATGAATAAGTTGGTGGAGGTCACATGCCACTTCATGGTGCATGTCCCTGCAGTCCTTTTGACCACATCCAGACCAGGCCAGGCCCAGACTGTCCCAAATGAACCCCAAGACCTGCTGCCATGCCCATAAGCACTACGTTTTAAAGTGAAATTCTTTCCAACTACAGCTGATGCCAGTGTTGAAAAATAAAGGGCCTCAGACCAGGGTACAGCTATAAATAAGAAAATATGAAGTTTCCTGCTCTTCCCACTTTTGGTTGCCTGCTTTGGTTTTTGTTATTTTTGTCAAAAATGCACTATAATGGTTCTACATGAACTGAAAGATATTGATTTGTTTTTTAGTTCCTCCAGAGCTTTGGGGAGGCTGAAAGATGTGATGGGTGCCCTCCAGGGTATTGGCGAATGATTGGAATGCCCCTCTCCCTGTACCTACCAGTTGCTGGATCCATGACAACATATTTGACAAAGACATGCCTTATTTCAGGATACTTTATGGTGACCAGGCCAGGTATTTTGAGGCTGAAAAGATGCCTAAGCTAAAACACCGGAATACAGGAACACTATCCTTTGCCAGCCATGGAGGTCACATGTGAGTGTTTGGGAGGTGTGAGGGGGCATCTTCACAGAAGGCGGCTTATTGCACCAATCACACAGACTATTTAGTTGTTTGTATTACAGCAGTTTTTTGTGTTAGTGGGGATCCTGTTAATCCTCTGTTTTGAACATCATACATTTTAAACATTGAGTGCAGAACTTGTTACAATGAATGCACCTGCCACCAGTTACTCAGTCAATACTGAGGTCAGAATGCACCTGCCACCAGTTACTCAGTTAATACTGAGGTCAGGATGCATCCAAGTGAGCTTGTCTTGGGTCCAGTGTCTGGAAGGTCAACAGGGAGTATTTTGAACAGCCAGACCTGACCATGTATGCTTCCATTTTCATGTATGCAGCTTTAGCCCCGAACACGGCTGCGTCGTGTAAGACTGGGCGCTCCTGGTCATCATTTCTGACCTTCCTCAACATGCCAGACAGTTGAACGACGCCCACGTTGCAGCACCGAGTGCTGCTGCGTGCGGCACTGCTACTAAGTGCTGCTGAATTACGCAGCCAATATCTCCCGCTGGACATCGGCGGCATTGATATGGGATGTACATGAACAAAGAGCGGGCTGCGTGGCCTGGGGGAGGGGAAGGAGGATTCGCTGCACATTTGACAGATCTAAAGGCTGACCTAGCCCCGGTGTGGCGTCAGCTGAATGGTATGCGCTGAACCTCGACAGATGGGCGGGAGCGCGGATTGATCGCCGGGGGGTCCCGCGCCAGACTCGGCTCGTAGTGAGCGCCGTCAACTGACCGTGGCCGTGTGGTCCCGCGCCAGGCTTGGCTCGCAGTTTTTCGTCACGCTGTCCGAAGATCTCGAGTACCTGGACGACGAACACTGCGTCTTCGGCCAGGTGGTGGAGGGCCACGATGTCCTGGTGAAGCTCAACAGCGCGATATGCGACGAAAAGTACCAGCCGTACCAGGACATCCGGTGAGCGCAGACCCGCGGCGTGTCGCGCAGTGCTGGAGCGGATGGACGGCACTCAGCGCAGGCCGGCGCAGTGCTGGCGCGGATGGACGGCACTCAGCGCAGGCCGGCGCAGTGCTGGCGCGGACGGACGGCACTCAGCGCAGGCCGGCGCAGTGCTGGCGCGGATGGACGGCACACTCAGCGCAGGCCGGCGCAGTGCTGGCGCGGATGGACGGCACACTCAGCGCAGGCCGGCGCAGTGCTGGCGCGGATGGACGGCACTCAGCGCAGGCCGGCGCAGCGCTGGCGCGGGTGGACGCCACAATCAGCGCAGGCCGGCGCAGTACTGGCGTGGATATAGCGGGCGGTTTGCTCGAAGACTTTTGGCTTGGGTTGCCACGTGCAAAGTGGTACAAGGATCAGTCATCCTCTGGATCATCCTCAGGAGTGCCTCATATAGTGGAATAACGGCATTGGCTGTCGGGGCCCACGACGTGACGATCTCGTTCGCTGCTCGGCTTGCCACCTCGCGCTGCCATCCGCGTCATGTGCAGTCGTTTACCCTCTGCATGTCATGTGCATGCCTTGCGTTGTAAGTCCCCCGGACCTCCCACCGCGAATCGTCGCAGAAAGTGTGCAGTGGGCACCGAAATGTTCTCGCCAAAGCCTCGAAGGAGGAATCAGCGAAAAATTCAGCCTATCCGTGAACGCGAGACCGACAATACTGAAATTGGGTCACACTGAAAGCCCGTCATTGCTCGTATAACCTCTCACTTTCCACCCAGAAACTTGGATTTTGACAGACTGTCCCTCCCCTGCATGGTTGTATGGGGTGCTTGTGTCTTGTACTGATTTTGTTTCCACCCTGTGCTATTTTGGGACGCTCACTACCGTGTCCCAATACGCGGTCTGCGCGCCAACCAGGCTCCTAAAAATTGGCGCACTAATCGTGTCCCTTCCTAGTTTAGATTAGCTAGGGTTGACAAACTTCTGTTGCCGCAGCGTTACACACACAGTGATACTGGACGACCCGCTGGATGACCCGGATGGGCTGGAGATCCCCGACCGGTCGCCTCCGCTCACCGATGACATTCTCAAGGCAAGCAGCGTCTTCGAAAGATGGACACGGCCATTTTAGCGTCACCAAAACGGCTCTGATAGATCAACGACTGACGACCATTTGTCTATCATACCATATGCATACCTCTTTATTTTTTATGCCATTTTGTATATTGTTATGCTTATCGTTTTCGTATGGGGAAGCTTTTGGAGTGGCTGGCATATTATTTAGACAACCTCTGTGAAGTTCCGATTCATCATTCGTCGCCTGCAGCGTAAAACACCCAGTGTGGCGGTGGTATTTTGATTTGTTCCTCGCACGTGCCGCGGTAGGCCATTCATTTTCTAAGGAATAGGGCTCCACGCTGCTGTACACCCCAGCCCGCCAAGTTCCCGCAGCCGTGTCAGTGCCGGTGGGCCGCAGTGCTATGCTGTGCCGAGCTGGGAACGGCGCGGCCGAGTTCCCGCTGGGCCGCGGCGGCCAGCCCACTAACGCAGCGACGACGGCTCGCTCCAGTCGGGCCGCATCGCGGCGGATGAGGACCTGGACGAGGACGCCGGCCGCACGGCGGCAGAGCTGGACGAGATGATTCAGCAGCGCGAGGCGCAAGCGCGCGCCACCATCCTGGAGATGGTCGGCGACCTACCGGACGCCGACACGGCGCCGCCCGAGAACGTGCTGTTCATCTGCAAGCTGAACCCGGTGACGACCGACGACGACCTGCAGGTCATCTTCTCCCGCTTCGGCACCATCGTCAGGTGCGCACCCGTCGGCCGCCGGTGGCGGACGTGCCGCCACCGTTACATTGTTGGCACCGGAGTACCGCCATGTGATAGCGTTAAGCTTTTCCTGTGGCGGGTTTACTGGTTGGAATGAGTACTACCGCTATCAAATGCAGTTATCCGCTCAATATTATTTTGAACGGGTTGAAGGGCAATGCGTTTATCTGGGGAACATGATTTCTCAAGTGCGAGTAGCTCAATTTCCAGTACACCATTTTTAAATCACGAAGCTCCGCTCGCTTTATAACGTTTGCACCTGTTTCCTGCAGCTGCGAAATCATCCGCGACCAGAAGACGGGCAACTCACTGCAGTACGGCTTCATCGAGTTTGACAACCCCAAGTCGTGCGAGAACGCCTACTTTAAGATGGACAACGTGCTGATCGACGACCGGCGCATCCACGTCGACTTCTCGCAGTCGGTGTCGCGCGTCCAGTGGCGCGGCAAGGGCCGCGTCGTCTACCAAAACGGCACGAGCGCTAGCGAGTTCGCCAACTACGGCGGCGGTGGCGGCGGCGGCGGTCGGGCTCCCCGCGGTCCGGGTGGCGGTGGCGGTGGCCGGGGCGCACCCGGCGGCGACAGGCGCGGCCCGGACGACCGACACCGTGGACCGACTGGGGGCGGCCGCAGCGCGGCCGGACGGCACGGCGCGAGCAGCGGCCGGCGCGGCCGGGAGCCCGAGCAGTCTCGCCGGCTGGAGAGCGCGGCCGGACGGCTCGACGTCGGCCAGCTGAGGGCGCTCGTCGAGCGCCAGGACAGGGTCAGTGTTCGTGTTTGGCTTGCAGCTCGCGAGGTGTCTTGTGATGGCTAGGAGGTGGGATGATGCAGATATTCCCGTAAACGAAGTCATTATGGCGGACATTCGTTCAAGCGTTGATTCTGTTGGGAATTCTACGGTGCACCGTGATGCCAGAGGGTTTTAAGCTTTCTTGACGCCCCACCCTTCGATGCTATGCCCCGCGCACATGGGCATGACCGCTAAATGGATCGGTGTGGTCTGAACCCCCGTAACTTTTGGACATGATGGAGCTCCGTTTCCCTTTGGCCGCTATGAATATTGAGATTACAATGGACATTAGCAGGTTGATTGATGTCAGTAGCAGAGCGCTCGATTACGCCCAGTGTGTGGGATTTTAGTCACGCTATCCCCTATCCAAAAGTATGTCTAAACGAGCTCGATTAAAAAAAAAACAGTCTTCGGCAACGGTCTTATCGCGCGGGTGAACTGCTACTTTTTATGCATTTCTCGTTTCAGAAACGAAGTGGTAACGACGGCTCCAAAGAACCTGCAAAGTCCAGCAAGAAGTCCAAAAAACATAAAAAGCGATCCCGGCAGGACAATTCCTCCGACTCGGAAGCCTCCAGTGATGCAGAGAAGCCTGCGGCGAAGTCCAAGCATCGCGGTGTGCGGACGCGGTCCTCGAGCTCCGGTGGCTCCCGCAGTCCCCTCGCTGGGTCGAGTCGGGACAAAGAGCGCGCGAGAGGCGATGGAAAAGCTCGAAGTGAAACGTCGCGGAAAAAGAAGAAACATAAAGAGAAGGGGGGCGACTCTGGTAAGGGCAGTAAAAAGAAGCGAAAGAAGCACAGGCGACACAGCTCGACGAGTGGCTCGGACGGCACCTCCTCTTCGGAAGAAGGCGTTGGGAGTAGGGAGCGGACTAGAAAGAGGCATAGGAAATGAATTTCACAAGCGTATGACTCATCTCATCAAATACACCGCTCCACGCCGTATCAGTTCTCTCCGAGTTCTGGACTTCCGAGTGACCAATACCCGTGCCGGCATTCCGCATACTGCAGGGGTACACGTCGACGAAACAGATTTACAGCGTGTCTGCACCGATTGACAGTGGTACCGCTGAAACGGTAGCGTGCTGGGCACGAGACATCTGCCCTCTGAGGACCGCACACGAAGGAAGACTCTCGTCCCTGCTAGGCGTCACAGGCCGACTGCTGCATGTTCGTGTGGGGCCGTTTCACCATTACGCGAAGAGTATTCTTCTCAATAGAGCATCCATGCGAAATCATACCGTACTCTATGTAATTAATGAGCATATGACATTTTCAACAAAGTGCACCGAAAACAAGCGCTGATATTGGCATTTTGTCAACATATTCGCGTGGATCCTTGCCCCTTTCATGCCCCAAGAAATGTTTTGGAATACAGAAGCCATGCAAAATCGTGACGCGCTGTAAATGATCAGCGATCGCACTGCGGGTTCCAAGGCATGTGAACTTTTCCAGAAAACAGCGGATATCATTCAAACCCCGTTGAGGGCCATACACGCATGGTATTTACATGGGCGGCCGAGGCAGTAGCGCAGGCAGGGAGGGGGTGGGGGTGGGGGAGGGTGCGGGGCACAGGAGGCGCGTCCCCCTTTAAATCGGGCCATACGATCAAGGGCCCGGGAGATCGGTGGAGGTTGTATTCAGGGTTCCCAGTCCGCAGCGCTGGGCACTCCGGTGCCAGCTAGGGGGCCCCGCACGCTGATCACAGATCCCCTGAGTTTATAAGGGCCTACATGCCGGTCAGACATTACCAGTAACAGTCGGCTCCCTGGCGGCATGGGCCCGAGGACCCATTTCCCAAGCAGGGACGGACCTTTAAATGACAGTCAGAGCGCCCTTTACGTTCATCAGGGACGTTATGTTAATTAATTAATGGAGTTAATATGGGCTCATATTTCGCTCAGGCACCTCCATCCGCAGTCCGCAGTCCTCTCCGTATCAGTATGGGCCTGAGAACCCACTTCCCAATCAGCTATGAAGCCGGGGCCGTTGATTTACACTGGTCGGGGCCTCTGTATCTACCAGGGGCCCACAGCGCCTAACAGTGCCTTGCGTTCGCAAGGGGCCCCGAGCCGACCAAGGGCAGTGCCCGATGAGATCTGAAGGGGGACCAGGCGACCCAACGGAACCGGCTATCAAAGGCCCGGTTGGGGAGCACAAGGGTCCAAAGGATTGGCTATAGGTCACATAAAGAATCGCGTTCCGTAGGGCCGCAACCTGAAATATCAGCCAGAGGTATCCTTGCATCGTTTGAGGACCCTGTTAGACGATGCGGGTGTTAAAGTCGGCCGTAGACCACGAACACCGAGCAGTCGGCTCTGTGTCGGTCTGAACTCTGGGAGCCCATTTCCCAAGCAAGGACGCGGCCGGGCCCGCGATTCACATTTGTTGTCGGGGCCCCTGCAACAATGCGGTGCTCCTGCATCGTTTAGGCCCCACAGTTCCTAACAGGGTTACTCTGCGTCAGCAAGGGGCTCGAATCGGTCAGGGGAAGATTTGCTCAACAGGGACGGGGAGGAAGCCCGAATGACACAGGACCCCTTGTATTGGTCGGGGCCCTCTGACAATGAAAGGAAACGAGAACTCACGATGCTGGTTCAAACTGCGGCAATGAGAGGGTCCGGTGCCAGTCAGGGCCCCCAGTATCGAACGGTGGACCCTCCAACTCCAGCAAGGACCCGTTAAGCCGAACTGGGGTATGTGCCAATTAAAAGACCACCTGTGGCGATTAGGGATGCTGTTGCCTCAATGACGGTCCCTGCATCAGTCCGGGTCAGCTGCGCTCTGCACGGGTCGGAAAGCCTCCCGCGTCAGGGACGGACCAATGTGATATGATGACATCCCTCTAGGAGCCTCCGGATCGGCCAGGGATTCCCGACCCGCGTCGCCATAATGGCAGCCGGGTACCCCGCGGTGGGACGAAATGGTTCCTACAGCCCATGACCGGGAACAGCAATGTGTCCCCTAGTGTTTTTCTCAAGGGGGATCCTTTCCCATAACTAAAACAGGGTCTTATTAGTGATTGGATAGTGATTCGAAATGGTGAAAATAAATAACGCCATCCCATGCCTGCCTGACAACATTCATTCTTTTACAGAATCGATTGACAAAACAAATTCCATCCAAAAAGGTTTAAGCCTGCGCGCCCGAAATAACGGGAGCAAGAACAGTGGTGGCCTGGGTTGCAGTTTCCGTCAAACCAAACGGCGTTGGTCGTTGCAAGCAACACCAGACGGCCGGTGCCGTGCGCGCGAGAGCGACCGCCGTGGAATAATGCCTCCGGATTTCGTAACACGCACCCTGGTGGCCGGTTGGATACCGTTCGCTCGGGTGGGGGAGGGGGTCAACTTGACTCCACTGAGATCTTAGGAATAAATAAAGCTAGACGCCAAATTCACGAGGTGTGTTGGCCGGTACGCATACTCACTAAGGTCAAAGTTTGAGGTTCCTAGCTCATGACCCTCGGGTCAAATAAGGTCAAACAAGATTAAACTCCAAGTTGGTTTCCAGTGTCCCCAGATCCTAGAGATCTGTTCTAAGCAAAATGTCACACGCTTATTTAAGGTCAGTGATCTTGACTGACCTTTGGAAGGTCATAGAGACCAAAAGCATACAAGACTGCTTTCGAACTTTTTGTTTGAATAAGCGACGATTACGCTAGGCGGCATGTTCCCAAAAACGAAATGTTGACCTGGGTCATTTCAGTTCAGTGACCTATTCTAACCTTGAGAAGTCCATGGAATGTCCAGTGCGGTTCCTATCATCAATAAATTAGAAATGAGCACCAAAACATACCTCATACAGCAAGCCCCAGAGTAAGAAAACAGGTAGGTTTTGACCTTAGTCTGACCTTCATCCTTGCCCTAGGTCAATGGAACTTGGTCATTCAATTGTTGTGTTGCCTAAGAAACTATCTCAGAGATGTATGGCTTCGTCTAACACTCCGTTGTTTCATCAGATTGAACGATTCCCTAGAAATTGGGATTCGCTGAATCTGTGGCCTGCCTTAAACCCGTCATAGGTCAGCAACCTTACAAGGTACATCTAAATTGTTGATGCCGCATGGTCCACTGTTCAAGTTGTCTACAGCTATACAAATTATGGCGCCGGTCACCCCGTTCGGAAACCATTCCGAAAAAATCTTCCGGGGTCAATTTGATCCACACCTGACCGCGTATTCAAAAAATAATTCCCTGCCGTGCAAAGATGAAGCTGGACTGCATTTTTTTTACACAAATTTGAGGTTACGCTCTCGACAGATCACCAGCTGCAGCAATACGAAAGCAAAGGGATTCTACCTTTACTCTTTCAGTTCTACCACCCCATTCCAGCACCCCTTCGCGTTGCTGTAAAGTCAAAACTCGAATCATCAATCTAAAAATCGCACAGGTGAATTATACACCCGGCTACCTTCTAAGCAAAATCACTTGATGTTCTCAGGCGTTCAAAGGTACGTTTTTCAAACGCGCCATCATTAACGTTAACCAGTTCGCCACAGCTTAGTGTCAAGACACAGGATCGACGGCGCACGGCCTTGAGAGACTGCAACGCCTGGCATCGATATTTTTGGTGCTAGGGTTTGCGAGCGCGCATGCTCAAAACTGCTTTACGTAGCCTAAGTCACTCAATTCTGACATAATGTTGCACATTTCCAGAGAAACATAAATTGGCCACGTTAATACAACTTGTTGCCTCATCTCGATCTAGTCGCGGGTCCTTAATAGCTCTGTACAGGCCACATAAACATTCTGACAAAACATCTGATCCATATCGGTTTAGAGTCTACCGATCCGTAGGAAAATGAAGATGCGCCGGTGGTCCATTTCAAGGAGCCGCTTAACGCCTAAGTTGTTAAGCTAATTATCTATGAGTTCCAGCAGATTTGATCTCCGCGGCAACTTCTGATTCATATTCCAGCCATAGAAGGCAAAATGAAAAAATATCCTAGAAAAATGTCATTAACAAATGGGCCATATCCAGCGATTGTTTCTTTTTGGAGGGGGCTCTACTATCACGGGGCCCTCTACTATTAGGGGGCCCCTTTGTCAACCCCGCGTCCCCCCCCCCTTACCAGGGCTCTAGCTGCGCGACTGAGCGAAAAATAGTTTGATGTAGGTCTGAAGGAATAATCTGACTGCGGACCACGAACGGGGAGGGCAGCGGCGAGATCCGCGTGCTAGCAGGAATGAAGACAGGGCAAGCTAGCTGAGGGACATAAGACATGCAACACGAGCGATAGATGCAGCCCAATGACGCGGACGCCGAAATGGAGAAATTAACACGACACCTTGAGGGTGGCGAAGGTCGGAACCTGAACACGCCCTTGTGACTCGGGCCGCAAATGCCTTCTTGAACGGATGATCCTTTAGTGGGAAATTATTTAATGGGATAGCATTTCAGCCGGTGCACTGGCTGAAATCTGCTGAACGGTGCGCGGGTGTTTACGTGGCCCAGACAGTTCAAATCGAGGCCGAGTACCAGCTTGATCCGAGCACAGCTGCCCAAGTAAACGGTGCAGTGCATGTTGCGGTTCCTGTCCGACGGCCCGAGCACTGCAGCCATGCCCCGCGGCGGCAGTGTGTGGGACTCGCGTTACCATTTAATTCACCATATGTTACAAAATCGGACATTTCCTCGAAACTGCCTGCCTGAAAATGCCTAAGGTCAACGCTGCGAGCGAGCGAGGAGGACCATACCACGTTACCAGCATACCACGTTATGCTGGCGGCCCCACCTCCTTCGGCCGTTGCCCTTTCCTTCATAGGCAAATTCCATGTGTTACACATTGCAGTTCATTTCAAGATGTCTCCAATAACACCGTTATAGAGGGGAAAATACAGACGCAACGGAAAGCGGCTTACAATCTCCGCTTAAAGCGCAAATGGCGCGAAGCGTTCCATCAGCGCTGACCACCCGACGGTCCGAGCGTCTGGCGGCGCACCCCTCCTCTCGGCCTCGGGAAAATTCGCTCCAACAGAGGTCAGTCGTTAGCAGGTTCACAACATATTCAGCCAGGCGAACACAAGGCGCTTATCGAAGCATGCAGCCCCGAAAATCAGTATATCACGACACCTAGTTTCATGCACCGGGGTCCGTGCTATCTTCGCTTCTCGGTTTTTGCGGTCCGCTTTTTCTCCTTGTCCTTTCGTTCGTTTTGTTGTTGCTTCTGTTTCTCCCTGAAATTTAGAATACAACGCACATTTAGAACGCACATATACAACGCACATAGAACACAGCGCACAAGGCACATTGTGCTTTCCGCACAAAACCTTGAAATGTTGACTTCACACCGGCCACTGACTGGTAATCGATACACACACACCCCAACATGGGGGATGGGCCCAGCGAAAAGGCTAACCTTCTTCACGGCTCCTGGGATGACAAAGTTGCGATCTCCACCAGAGCTTCCGAAGTTTAAGCCGCGACGAACAGCTACACGGTTTGGTAGCGCAGAACAACCGCAATCGAGTACCCCCAGTGGTACTCCTGGTATTTTGACCGGCTATGTTGATGCAAGGCGAATGAAATATTACCACGTAGAGTGCAACCAGGTAGCTAACTGACCAGGAAATACCAAACCCTCTGCGCGGACACCCCGGAAACAACATTTTTGCGGACCAAACCCCTATCAGCCCGCCAACGAGCACACGTAATGCTGCCATGCCATTGCGACCATGGTCCACACAACTCAGTCGATTATGCTGGCTATGTCACGTTGCACCCACCTGTCCAGTTTATCTTTTTCACGCTTGGCGGCTGACTCGGCTTTCATTCTCTCGCGGCGTTCTTGCTCCTCCTTGGTTACATCATCGCGGTTGCTGTTTTTTGCGACGTCTGTCTTCTCCTCAGCTCCAGCCTCCTCCTCGTCCTCGTGGTCGGATATCTGCCCACGTCAGCAATCAAGGATCACTTCCAATACTTTTATGTCGATCAGGCTATTCATATTAGTACGGGCTAAAGCTCCAAAGAGCTTTGTCCCCTATGACAAAGTGGCTGGAATGGATCTCTTTCACGACACCGGCGATTGTCGCCTGCCTTCCGGCGCGAAGAGGCGGCGTCGTTAGCGCCAGTAGTACCGCCACCGGTAGCGCCATGTAAGCGCTCGCTAGAGCCTCACTGCTTGGATCTGTCACCAGCATTGTATGCAGAAAGCTCACGGTAATCCGTCCACCCATCCATGCTGTATGTCTGGCTGAATGAGTGTGGATAGACCAATAAACGTCCACTGGAAATAAGTGAATTAGATGCTCAAATTCAGGTAATACCGTTTCCAGAGAGTAAATTTCGAGCTTGCCACATTTTCCAATCATGACCAGATTGCAATGCTTCATAGTTTCTTGACATGAAATTTAAAGTACAACCACATGCATCACTGTTCCTGTCAGTCTTCTTTGCTATGTCAACAGAGGTACATTGGTCCACACACAATGCTGGCAAGCAACACCAATAATTTGATGGATTAAGCTATCCACCTGGTGTGTCACTTCCCACCCCCTCATCAACATGCTGATGGGCTTGATGTAACACCTCTTGAAACCTGTGGTCCCTGCCCAGACTTTAAAATCATTTCATAAGAACCTTGGTGCACACTTGTGTGCACTGGCATGCAGTGGCATGAGCATCTACACCAACACAACTATCATGTTTACCCAAAGCTTGACACTTTGTAGACCTTAGCTTCTGTATTTTCTATACCAAATACATAGTGGCATCTAATACAATACAAATACCCTATGGCATGATTTCCTGTGGCTACAGATCACTTGTCTTCACCCTAACCGCCCCACAGTTCTGATGAATCATCAAGAGCCCTTTCAAAATGGGATTTAGAGTTGAAAACATACTTTTCAAACTAATCTCATAACTCACCTCTGCATATTGTTGCAATATAGCTTCTTTAACCTTCTTGTCAGCATTTGATGCTTTAGGTTTCTCCAGGACAGTTGCTGATATGTTTTGCTGTTCCATGATTTTTGAAAGCTGGTCCTCAAATTCGATCTGAAACATAATGATAACAGAATGCTCAGGTTCTGTCCACCAAGAAAACATTGGCCCGATAGTAACATACAGTTGGTAACATGTACTTCATGAGAGTAACATAACCACCAATGCACCCATGAAGTGGATTAATTCAAATGCAATGTTGAAGGCTGCAAACTTTGTTTCATACACTTCATTGGTGTAACCACAGGACTCTCAAAAAGCCTGATACTGCACTAACATGACAGGCCACCTCTGGAGCATATGTGACATAAACATGGCAGGGATGTTGGCATGACAACAACTGACCAACAACACCAACATTCTTCAGACATGCAAAGACAGTCATTGTATGTGTGAGCCATTGCATTACATGACACCTTCATATTTTGGGAAAGCATATTTAACAACAAACTCTCTCCAGCCCTAAACAAACAAACAAATTCTTGCACAAGCCTTGAGCTATAAGGTGGTGAGAGTTAAACATTGTAGATGTGATTGTGGCTTTGTGCCTTTGTGGTATTTTCATTATAGGTGCATTTGATATGCATCCAAGTAACAACTAGATGTTAAATTTTGTCTTCTCCTTGCAGAAAGATGTTCTTAAGATAGTGATGCACAATGTTTATCCTTAAAAACAAAAAGCTTATTTCTTGTGCCAGCCCAAACTATGTTCTACATGGTCAAAAGTATGAACACTCAAACGACACATAAAAAAGCTCATCACTTTTGAGTCAGCAGTTGCTTTTCATCACACATGCAAAAAGGAAAATATTTTGCTTAGATATGCCATGATAAAAGTACACAACCATGCAATTCAGAATGAGGGTGCTGCCAACAGGTATATGGAATAACTAGTGACTTATCAACTGGAGCGGAACAAGGCTTGTAATATTTTTCAAACAAAGATGAAAGCTTCAGAAGTACTACAGCATGTTGCCATAAACATGATGTAAAACAAGAGGTTCTTGACAAACTTGACATGATTGCAAATAATGCTAGATGTCTTACTATGCATATGCATGTATATATATATACATATATATATATATATATATATATATATATATATATATGTAAAACCTTGATGTATTTTATATTATTCAACATCCTGACTCTTAATAAGTCACCTTTGGTCTAGCCTCTACTCCATTCTCTTCACTCTTGGAGTGGAATTGGTTCCATTTGGTGAATATCTCCTGGCAGAGATCTTCCACTCCTGATTCCTGCAACAAGTTTGAATGGAACATAGGCACAAAGTTGAGAACCATACTTTGGCACATATACCATGGTTACTTCCTTGCATAGGGTGCTGTGCTGGTCACCCATGCACAACAATTGCAAACACCTTTCTCACAACAGCAGTCAGGGACATTCATGCAAAATAACTGCCAATAGACCTGTAATAAAGGTTGATCTGTCAAGAAACATACCACAATGAAAGTAGCTGTGAGCCAGCATAGAACAGACCAGGCCAACTTGGGCCAATTTCACCACATCTTCTGATCAACAACACATGTTAACATGGAGGTTTTCCACACTGGTATAAATGCATATAACAAGGTAGGAGCTGGGTACCTAAAAAACAACTCCCATTTAATTTTGTTAGTCATATATGTTCCATTCTGAGTTCTTAATGCACATGAAATTTCCCCTTATCAAGGGTAGAAACTAAGTATATTGCAGACATTCAATACTTTTACAACCTGAAAGCTGCTGAATGGGCTACAATTTAGAAAAATATACTGCAGTTTGTGAGAACTTATTTGGCTGGGGTCAGACTACAAGCTTGTGAGGCCACAATGACATTTTGCTGGTGCCATAGATAAATCAACACAAAAAATCTGGGTTTTCATAAGTTCAGACAAATGGACAACCCTATTTGCAAAGATCACAAACAGAGCACATGGTGGATGACACAATCATGGTGATTAACATTGGCAACATAACAGGATTCAGGCATTGGAATGAAATACCATAAAACCCATGGCCATACCATTATGCCGGACAGTATACCCTCCAAAGCTTCTTGCTTTTCTGCCTGAGATTCGTCTCCCGTGAGTATTCCCTCGATATAATCTGTGATTACACTATCATCAGATTCAAGTGTCAGTAGCTTAGCGCCCAGCCACGAGTGAAAATCCTCCATGGCTGTCACCGGTAATTGGCAGATGTTTTCAGTCCACCATCGACGACGCTCCTCCCAACCAAGCGCGACCGCACCAGCTCAGAAGCTCCACCAGCCCAACGTGAGGTGAGGGTTTTCGACATTTAAGACGCACAAGACGCATATATCTAAGCCTTTTGCCGTTTTTTCGGCACGTTAAAAAAATATTTATTTGTGTGTGTAAAATGTTAAACAACCTCTTCAGAAAATAAAAATATTACATATGATAAGCTCTGATTAATCTTGTTGTTGTTATGGCTAAAAAACAAGGGGTAAGGCGGTGCATAGCATCCCTATAATGGCAGCATAAGTCTTCTGTCAGAATATGATAAAACATATTTCTTACGATAACTGTAATTTTTAGGCTATAATTGAGCACAAATAAACTCACATCTTCTTTTTTATCACGTAATTCACCAATTTTGACTTAAATTTGCTTTGATAATGCATTTTACTCGGCCACGCTTAAAGAAGCAGTAGATTAGACGCATCACTGTCCTGTTTGACCTTGGGGGTCCGTCTCGTTCACGTTGCATGCCGACGCGCCTACTGCCCGTTCATTTGATTCAGTTCTGGAAGTGAAGGCGGGTGGCCCGTGGCCCGTGGAGTTATATTCTTACCTAGTTCCGTAACGTCTGTATTCGGCTCACAATGTCCGGACAAGCGATTGACACTGATTGCATGACGCTCACGCGTTTCATCCTGGGTGAACAGAGAAAGGTTCCCGGAGCCACGGGTGACCTGACTACATTGTTGACTGCGATCCAAAGTGCTGTGAAGGCGATCAGCTCAGCCGTGAGGAAGGCTGGAATCGCTCAACTGTGAGAATTTTTCTGCATGTGTTTTTAGATGTCTGTGTGTGCTTGAGGAATTGCAGTGGCAGACGTATACAAGGTGTTCATGATTGCCAGATGCCGGATACGCGGGACCCCAGAGGGTAGATTCATACAAAACGTGCATACCACACTGGAGAATTTTAGATGATGGGTTTCTGTTAATGATACCTGCCTTTTCAGGGATAGGGTGAAATATTACTTGATTGGGTTCTACATTGGAGGCTTGGGGTCTATCTCTTGCTGATGATGTGCCAGTTTAAAAATCAATCTCCTGCACTAGATTCCTGCAGGAAATTGGTGTAGTGTGCCAGGTGTGTTAGTGTGCTGGAGCAGGCGAAACTGAATTGATCAAAAAGTTGTAATGATTCCTGGAAAAAAATGTTTTTTAAGTATTTTTGCCTGCAATTGCTTTTAAGCATTGTGAAGCATTGTGAGTATTTGGAATGTTGGGTTTCTATGAGCTGATGTTGATGGCATCCATGCGCCAATTTGGGCACTCAGATCTATAGTGAGCATGTTCTGAAATTTATGTCACCATGTTTTTTTCTGTGCCACTAACATGTACACATGCAGAGTAACATGATTGTTTTGCAGTCTGTATGCCATGGAATCTGCTTTTTCATATGATCGCTGTGGTCGGCATTCTGTGAATTGTTCATTTCATGCTTTATTTTTTGAATAGTTGCATGCAGACAAGTTATGCACAATTTGATTTAAATGTTATGATTAGGTTTTAGGAAATTCATTTGTTTTGCCCTTGATTTTTTATTGGTCAGCCATATTATTTTTCTCATTTAGAATGCTGTGTTTGTAACAAATTCATGTCATCATGAGCTTTTTATGACATGCATGTTGTTTATGTGGCGAAATGTGCCCAAGATTCAATGTCTTTTTAAGGTATGAAATTGAGCTGCTGATTAAAGAGCTTTGCTAAAGAGAGATGTGTTTGATCATGCTCATATAGTTGACTCTTTACAGATATGGGATGGCTGGTAACACCAATGTCCAGGGTGAAGATGTGAAGAAGCTGGATGTATTGTCTAATGACCTGTTCATCAACCTCCTGCGCTCCTCATACACCACCTGCATGCTTGTCTCTGAAGAAAATGAGAATGTCATTGAGGTAAGTCATTACTGCAATTATTTGAAGTCATGCAAAAGTGATTGATATGCCAGTAACAGCACAAATATTGTCAATTACCCTGGTACTCTGCTCTTTTTTGTCACAAAAATGCAACCCCCATTACTAATTCACTATTATGAGGTACATTGCTATTTTCCCTGCTTCTCACTGCCCCACTACACCTACTTCCTAGGCTTGCTGTATATGACTATAGACTAAAGTGGTGTAGAGCACAGTATAGAGTCTGGGTGTAGTGACTAGAGTACATATTTCAGAAGTAGCTTGTTACTACACTTCATTTAGTAGTGATCTCACTGCTGTCTGTGAGCCTGTGGTGACTACAGATAACTATTATTCAGGCAGTAATGTTACCACAGCTGATCTGATATATGATACATGTTGATCTAACCATGGTGACTTATCATTATACCTTGTGCACCTTCATTTCATATCTGCTATTAGTCAGTGGTGACTATCACATTTTTGTCATTGAGTTAGCAGTTCTCTCAACACTGGCTAAGTGTCAGTTGTCAGTTACATCAGCACTGCCCTGGCATCAGTTGGAAGTGACTTTTCTTTGGTGTGGGTGCTTAGACATTGATTGCCTCATGACTTATATTATCAGTTGGCAGTTTCTCACCACCAGTGTGGTGTCAGCAATAGCAAGCTCACCACTGGTCTCACTCCCAATCAGCAGTGGTTTTACCACTTATCTCCCAACACCATAAAATTGATCCTAAATGGTAGGGACTCTTCTCAACACATTTGTTGCAAACATTTTGTTCCATGTTTAGTGAGTTGTTCATCTTCCTTTTTTTTAAACATTTGATTGGAATCTTTTGAATGGGTTTATTTTGGGGATCAGAACTCATGCTAATTAGTGTTTGTTGTGTGAGCCCCGACCCCTACCATCTGATCACACTATTCCAGGTCAATGGCAGAATCCAGTGAGAAAGTTTTAACCTGCATCAGTACTCAGTACAGTCTGTCCTGCCCTCTAACATCAACTGACTAGGCACAGCTGCTGCTGACGGTCACAGGTTGGCCCTGCCCATACCTATTGAGGGTAAATAGCCAGTGCCTTAAGTGATGCAAACCCACCCAGTCATAGGTGGGTGGATCAGAAAGCAGGAACTTTAACCAACTGAGCAATCAGGATGGAAATTCTGAGAGTCTGACAATTGTTGTTGCCAAGCCAAGTATGTCCATAACAAGCACCAGTAGATCATTAGGCACCTGCAGCAACTTAGAAGCCCTGCCATGTGCACATGCATTAGCACAGAGACAAGTAATAAGGCAGCATGCAACTGTGACAATGGGGATACATTGGTGCATGTACATGCAGTAGTAAGAAGGCAGGAAGGGGCATGCACAGACAAAGGGCACTGCAGACCCATGCAGTGATGAAAGAACAATGCTGCAGTGTGTGACAACCCTAGCAAAATTCTGTTCTGATTCCATGTTGGCGTGACAGGTAAGGCTTATTGTAGTCAAAACTGCCTGACTGGTGGGTTGTGTTTTGCAAATTTATGCATCATATACCTGCACCTCACAGATCTTTTCACCAAAATATAGCTTGCCTGGATTATGTGCAGAACTTAAAGGTATAGTGAGATTTCAAACAAATTTCAGTCAAATTGGCTTCACCATAAGCGACTCGGGACGGGTCTTATGTGCTGTGGGTGGGGAGTCGAGGTTCGATTCCGATGAAGCTCATGTATTGGAGGGTATCTGAAGTCGCACCTGTGTGTTTGCTGGACAGACATTGAGTGTCATGACTGCTTCGGTAAAGATGCGGTTCTGACCAACTGCATATGTTCTAGGTTTCTGCGGTGAGTGTAAACGTCGCGGATGGGGTAAAATACCAAAACGCTGATTTGTTTGCATTGTAGCATTTGTGCTGCCTGTTGCTGCTTACGTGAATGGAACTGTGCCTAGTCATCTGCTTTTATTGTAGAGTCGGCTGGGTGTTTCTGCTTGCGTGTACATTCCGTACTTGCGGCTGGGAAAAAAACACGCGTTTGCGAAGCCTGTGGTTTGTTTTGCCCGGTGCACTAATACGCCTCAGTTTGGACAGTAGGCTAACGTGCGTATGTTGCATTATGCTTTTTGTATCGTGCAAAACACGCTGGCCACCGAAAATGTGTGGATAACATTAGGTAAGCTTTATATCCACGGTCAAAGCAGGAGTAAAGAAGGGAAAGTCACCAATGTCAAGAGTTATATGTGAAAGACCGGGACACATAAGTCAAAGCTCTTAAAAATATCTTGAATTTTAACTTTGGGGAGCGATGTGAAAGCGTAACCGGGTGGCGATGCAGATCAGTTGTTGGAACTTTGGAGACAGACGGTTATCGTGCATTCTAATGAAGCTTTATGGTCCACTTTAACAGCTGACAAGTACCCTTAGAAGATTCGCAATAAACGGGGAGGAACAGGTCGAATTATAGCTTCATGTCGTCATTAAGGTCAGGTTAATTCCTCTACTTGAAAGGATATGCGAGGTTCGCCAAAAATGTTGCACTAAGTGGCGTTTGAAAACTCGGGTGGATGCATGACAAGGTGGTCGAAGCTGTACCTGATTTTTCTAGGGTTTTGGGTCCGTTGCATGCGGTTGATTATATCAAGGTTTATCAACCGGTGTAGCTTCACGCTATGCAGACTGCTCGGCTGGTTTTGCGAAGGAATGTGGTATTACGCTAGTGAGAGGCTTTTCTTATGCTTGCGGTTCTGCGAAGACAAGTTTTCAAGTGAGCACTGGCCTTAGGTCTCACTGCTTCCGTTCGGTCATTGCTGGAGTGAATTTTCACTGAAGGCACCGTGGGTGCTGTACGTTTTAAATAAAGCTGCGAACTAAATTGACATCTGTGCTGACTTCGCGGTAACTGGACGTTGGTTGCATGCCATTAAATGCTGGGGCTGATTTTTAGGTCGAGGACAAATGTCAAGGCAAATACATCGTGTGCTTCGATCCTCTGGATGGCTCTTCCAACATCGACTGCCTGGTCTCCATCGGCTCCATCTTCGGCATATACAAGTGAGTCCCTTCGCCTAGTATGTCCCGGCGTGCGCCTCTAGCCCGGCCGGCCCGGCCAGGGTCGTCCCACGACAACGCGGCCGCCCGGGCCACCCAGATGAGCATGCGCCTTCGCCGCCGCTTATCGCCGGCCGGGCGCGGGGCCGGGCCGGCGGGCCGCATCGGCGGCCGCATCCTGCGCGCTCCTGCCGCGCCACGTCCCGCCAGCTGGCACCGCCGGCCCGGAGCGGCGGGCGGCGGGGCCGCGTCCGCAGCTGCGGTCTGACGGCCGTCGGCCGAGCGCCCGCCTCGCCCGGACGACAGCAGACGCCGCCGGCCGGAGGGGGACGTGGAGTCGGGCTGCAGCGCCGCTGTGTCGCGAGCCAGCTCCGGTGACGGCCGGGACAGGGCGGCCGGCCGGAGGCGGCCGCGGCTGCTCGGAGCGGTGTGGTGAGCAGTCGCGGCCTCTCCGCCCCCCACCGCCACTGTGGCACGACCCTGGTGTGGGCGTCGCGCATGCAGCCCAAGAAGAGGGAGGGGCTGAGAAATCCCAGCCTCCATCAAATGCTCCCCAGCTTTGCCAAAGTGGGCTTCTGCCCCTCCCCTTCCCCTCGCGCATTTGCACCTCTCCTCCTGATTTTGGTCCTGGAATGAGCGTCTTAAAAACGTTGTCTTGTGGCAGTTCATGTTTCCTAATTTTCGGTTAACTGAAAAACTTGCATGTCGTTGAACCGAATTCATCCCGTCCCGGAAAGCTGTACACAGACCGCGGCTTACCGCCCAGACTCCGGTGCACGGCAGCAGCCCCGCTGGCCGGGCCACACGCCGGCAGGCAGGCAGGCAGGCAGGCGTGACGTCAGAGGCCTGGTGAGCCGAGCCCCCGCCGTTCAAGGTCGGCCGGCCGTGGATCGGCGCCGGCACCAGCCTTCCATGCACTTGCGGCCGGCACGACCCAGTAACCGCTGACGAAACAGTGCAGCGTGGCGTGCAGCCCCTGGCCTAGGTCTGGCTGTTGTCGCCGATCTCGATGTTTGTGGCCGTTGGGAACTGCGCCGTAAACGGTTTGTGGTCTTGTCCTGTCCCACTATTACCTTGTTTGTCATGCGTCGAAGAACGCCTGTCAAAGGAATTGGATACCTGGTGTCACTCAGCACGGCTTCAGAGCTTGATTTTGTGTTCCATTTCATACACGTGTGCCTGGAGCTCCGTGAGGGGAACGATCGTACCAATACTCTACTTTAAGATATATTCCTTTTGATTGCGTGAATTTCTGAGATCAACGCCTAGCTTATCAGCGCTTGCTGCGTGAGTCTTGATCCCAGCACACCATCGTTAAATGTCGGGGATTCAATTTAGCGCGTCCGTTGCCACCGGCGGCAGGTCATTCCAGTCAGTGGCAAATGATGAGCGTCTAAACCGACTTGAACCCGCGTGGCAGCGATCGAGATGGTGGGTTGTTACACGGTCCGCCACGAGAAGGCGAATCGGAAGACAGTCGCTCTATTCCACCGAGCTGTCGGGACGGACATTTCAGTAGTCGCATTCGATGTAACTGTTGAGATGATTCCGATCTGGTTGGAGTTCCGACCGTCAGTGCTGCGTGACAGAGAAGGGAAACTGTTACAAAGGGAAGGGATTCCGATCTGGTTGGAGTTCCGGCCGTCAGTGCTGCGTGACAGAGAAGGGAAGCTGTTACAAAGGCAAGGGAAGCTGGCAGGGAGGGGAGGCTGCTGCGCACTGCTAGCCGGTCCAGGCGTCCGGAGACCGGCCGCTGCACCGAGCGCTGACACCGCGCCGTCCTCCCCGCGTCGGCAGGAAGCAGGCGGACGGCGCGCCATCTGTGCAGGACGCACTGCAGACGGGGCGGCGCCTGGTGGCGGCCGGCTACGCGCTGTACGGTAGCGCCACCATGATGGTGCTGAGCACCGGCCAGGGCGTCAACGGCTTCATGCTGGACCCGGTATGGAGACGTTGCCTTTGCAGCGGCGGCGGTGCCCTGGTGCCGTGAGCAGTGGAGTGTGTGGGATACCATCAGGAGAACGAGCGTTGGACATGCGGTGTGGGGTGTAAATGATGGGCGTGGTCCGTGCATAAGGTGTGGGCATTCAGCTGAAATTGCTTGGTTGCTGTGTACCCAACTTTTTCCTTGCTTCTTTAAACAGAGATGATTTAGGACGGGTACTTGATGACTCATCACTCATAAGTCAATATGCATATTCTTAGCCACTCAGCAGGACTAGGTTGTGGTATGCACGCTTGGCCTAAGGATGCGGAATCTAATGCGTCCCATACGGCTCTTTAATAGTATGTTGCACACTGTACGTTATTCCTTTAATATTTTGAATGTAGCTGCACATTGACCGTGTGTTTAGGCTGGTAAACTCAAGTGAGTGCCTACCGCAGACGCTGGGGATCGGGGGTTACGCGGCGGCCTGAGCCCGACCAGCTGGCTTGGGCCGTCCGCAGATGACCCTAACGCCCCCCCCCCCCCCCGCCTCCCCTCCCGACGACAGGCCATCGGCGAGTTCGTGCTCACTGACCCCAACATGCGGATCAAGCCCCGCGGCAAGATCTACAGCCTGAACGAGGGGTACGCCAACAAGTGGGACGCCGCCGTCAAGGAGTACGTCAACAGCAAGAAACAGGGCCCGGTGAGTCCGGCTGGTAGAGTGGCCCGCCCCCGCTCCCTGGGGTCGCTCACCGGAGCTGAGAACACGCCTTCTTGGCAGACGGTACAGAAATGACACTGCCCAAAACCCCATGAAACATAACATGGAATCCGCGCACACCATTGATTCCCCATTCTGCAACAGCTTGGCCAGCTTTAGGGTGGCACGTTTTGAGTTGGTCTGGGTTGTTGATAGCGCCTGTTGACCAGTTTTTGTTTATTAAGTCTATGCAGCATGTGTATCAAAGGTTTCGTCCACCAATTTTTTAATGGTGTCTTGTGTGATGTGCCCATTCATATGTCGTGCAAATAAAATCTGGCAGCGAAACATTGCGGTGAAAGTTAAACCCAGTTAAAAAGCGATACACATTCGCATTAAAACAAACGCTTTCAGCTGTGCATAACCGCATGGGCTCTATGCATTAAACTGGCATCTGTTTCACTTACATCCTTACATCTAAGTGTGGCTTTGGTCGTGTGGAACAAGTTGGACAAAGGAGACGCATAAGAAAAGGATCAGTGGTGCGCTAGACACGTGCAAAGAAACCACGTTTGAGGTTGCGTACTCTTGCAAATGAGGAGTGTGAAAGCATGCTTGCCGTTGCTCGGGTAAACAAGCTCGGAATATGTAAGGCAAAGTTGTGGTGTTACAAATTGTTCTAGTTGTAAAAAGTTATAGTGTTACAAAAGTTACAAACGGGATATTGCACTGAATTCGTTGTGTGTACAAGTGGAGATAGATTGAAAGGCCCTGCAGATCTTTCTGTGCCAAGAAATGTGACAGGCGCGATGCATGTGTGTGTGCAAGGGCAGCCAGAAAGGAAGTTGTGCTGAATCCTTCCCGAGCTCTCGGATGAGTCGCTACTTCTCCTATCCATGTAACGCATCCATACTCTGGGGCTGGCCACACGTTCCCATTGGGCGGTTAGAATTGACTTGCATTTCAAAATCCAGTGGCGCGGCCGCTCTGATAGGATCTAGTCGTTGCAAAGAATTACACCGAACCGCCGTAAAGCCATTTTATTGCAGGTAACCCTAACACAGGTCACTTCAAGCTCTAGCTACAGTGTTGAAGAATGCGCCCCAGGCTATCCAGGAATGCATGAACATTCAAACTGCGGCCTGTGAGAGACATCATTAGGTCACAATTGTTCAAGCTGCCTCCAAATGAAGATGAGCCCCTGTGTCTCGAATGCACGACTTCGTGCGATTTGTGTGGTCCCAAATATTGAGTTAACCGGGAACAGTGACATGTGCCGACTCGGATCCGTGCTAAGCGCCGAACGGTTCCCGATAATCGAGGTTAAAAGAAACAAGTTAACATGCGCCCGGGTGGCCGGTTGAATACTCTTCGCTGCAGGGGGGTTCAATCTCACCCCTGAGATCTCGGGGGTCAGCTAGATACACCAAGTTCGCAAGGTGGATTGGCCTGTACATTAACTCACTTGCGTCAAAATTTGAGCTTCCTACGTCATGACCTTGGGGCCAGATCAGGTTAGACAAGGTCAAACTTCAGATTGGTGCCTTAAGTGCCCCCAGACGTACTCATGCAACCACCGTGAAGCTAGATACCTGTTTTAAGCAAAAGATCAATGAGTCTGGTGACCTTTTTTGAACTACTTAACATCAAGGTGACCAAATAAATACCTTCGACATTGCCTCTATTTTGTGATTTGAATAAACGCTAGGTGGTACGTTCCTAAAATCATATGTGTGTCATGTGTCAAAATGGGTCAATATTGGGTCATTTTAGGTAAATGACCTACTCTGTTCTTAACAAGGTCATAGAACATGTCTATTGCAGTCCCTGTCATTGATAAATTCAAAATGAGCACCAGAAACTTCCTCATAAAACCAAGCTTTCGAGAAGAAAAGCGTGTCGGGTTTGACCTCGTTCGGACCTTTATACCTGTTGTGGTTCAATGGAATTGGTTGTGATTCTAAATTCAGTTGGCTTATTGCCTGAAAAATTATATCAGACATGTATGGCTTCGTCAAACACTGCGCTTTTACATCACATTGAACCCTTCCCTAGAAATGCCCTTTGCTGACAGCCATGGCCTGACTTACTTGCCATAGATCATTGACTTGATACGGTAGTCTATTTTTTACAAAAAAATATGCGCTGCTCAATTCTCTACAGCTTTGCAAAGTATGGAGTAGCTAAGCTGCGCCATTCGGAAATCATTTTGGGAAAACCTTTGGGGACCAGTTTAAACCCGCCGCGAGTGTCCCAGTATAGTCATCGTCATATTTAGGTCACTCGCTGTAGATCACGGAATTGCCCATCCTACCATTGACGGTGGGAGGACCATTTGGTAAAGGAAATGATTTGTCACCAGGTTAAATCGCTAAGGCCGATGCCTTTTGGGGTAATAGTTGGCAGCCTATTCCCTCAGAAGGGTAAACAAATTAACATGAGCTAATTTTTTTTCTCAGAATTGTGCCTAGTGGCCTACGATAGATAACGTCTGCCACAGCCTGTCCAGTGCCAGAAACAATGCGATGCGTTTACTGTAGTGGACTTATGAATAGGTTTATCTGCAAGGGGAAGTTACCTTACTGTTCAAACATGAGCGAGTATTCAGGCTATCTGTAGTGCATGACTTCATATCCGTTGATTATGAATATTTTTGACTGTTGTTCGATTGGCTGTTGTTTGCAGGGCTACTTACAGGGAGCAGCGTTCTGCAGTGTGTGCTCTTTCTTTGCATTAGTGATACTGTACTTGTGTGGGTGATATTTTCCATTTGCTCAATTGATTCATTCATTCAATTCATTCATTCATTTGTTTGATGCACTCAAGTAATTCATTCATTTGATTCCTGTGTGATACATGCATTCGTATGATTCATGCCTTAGTAAGATCCGTATATTGATCGATTCATGTATCCCCTATCTGCGGTCACACATCTTATGTCAGATTTTTGCAAAGCACAATCCTCAAATTTACCGTGTAATATATGTATAGTTCTTACGTGTAATTGAAGCTTCAGGTTGTTTAGAGGACAGTAGCGCGCCATACAGCTCGAACTATCATCATCTGACTCTTGACAACTTACTTTCCTTCCTTAAATCCTCCAGACCCTGATTGTAGAAGCTATTAAGCATAAGCTAATGCACTGCGCCTGTTTTCATTGCCGTACATCGGGGCCAGACGGCGCGTCGGTTGTGATGTCGAGCCACCGTTAGCTGTGATCGAGGCACCGTCGGCTGTGATGTCAAGCCACCGTCGGTTGTGATGTCGGACCACCGTTAGCTGGGATGTCGAACCACCGTCGGTTGTGATGTCGAGCCACCGTTAGCTGTGATCGAGGCACTGTCGGCTGTGATGTCAAGCCACCGTCGGTTGTTTTGTCGACCCACCGTCGGTTGTGATGTCGAGCCACCGTCGGTTGTGATGTCGAACCACCGTTAGCTGTGATGTCGAGCCACCGTTCGCTGGGATGTCGAGCCACCGTCAGATGTGATGTCGAGCCACCGTTAGCTGTGATCGAGGCACCGTCGGTTGTGATGGCGAGCCACCGTCGGTTGTGATGTCAAGCCACCGTCGGTTATGGTGTCGAGCCACCGTCGGTTGTGATGTCGAGCCACCGTCGGCTGTGATGTCGAGCCACCGTCAGCTGAGATGTCGTGCCACCGGTGACGTAGCACTGGCCGACAGCAGTTATGGCGCAATGCTTCACAACGGTCGGACGGCCCGCAGACTGGCCATCTCCCCTGCGTTCCACAAGTGGCCTGTCCCCTACCTGTTACATGCCGATCACGCCGCGTGCGACCGGGCTGCGCGTCACGCCTCACGCCACGTGCGGGTCCGCGCCTACAGAAGCCGTACGGCGGCCGCTACATCGGTTCGATGGTGGCGGACGTGCACCGCACGCTCAAGTACGGCGGCATCTTCATGTACCCGGCCACGGCCGACGCGCCCAAGGGCAAGCTGCGGCTGATGTACGAGTGCAACCCCATGTCGTTCATCATCGAACAGGTGAGCTGGTGGGATGATGTCGACCGTCGGCGCGGTGGATATCACATGTCCCACTACGCGGCAGTGGTGGGATGATGTCGACCGTCGGCGCGGTGGATATCACATGTCCCACTACGCGGCAGTGGTGGGATGATGTCGACCGTCGGCGCGGTGGATATCACATATCCCACTACGCGGCAGTGGTGGGATGATGTCGACCGTCGGCGCGGTGGATATCACATGCCCCACTACGCGGCAGTGGTGGGATGATGTCGACCGTCGGCGCGGTGGATATCACATGTCCCACTACGCGGCAGTGGTGGGAAGACGTCGCGCTGGGCTCATTGGCTCGGGGTCAGTTGTTGTTGTTACCGGCCGTTGTTGCGGCGTGTCAGCGGCGGCTCCGTGGAAGCGCCGGCCGGCGTTGTTGTCGCGGTCGAGGTCCGATGACCGGATCGGCGATCCGATCCGACCTGCATTGTTTGGAACTGGCGGAAGTCAGGCGGGTCTTTGGCCCCGGCGTGGCTGCAGTGCGAGCCGCGCCCCAACGGCGGCCAGTCGGGCCGGAGGTAATGCGGTGCAGTTTTCAGCTCGCCGCTGTCGCTCCAAAGCCGTGTCGGCGCCGGTTCGGCCTGCACAGAGCCCGTTCCGTTATTGTCGGCCCGCTGGCATCCCGCTGTGTCGCGGACGTGACGTGCCCGGCGTTATGCCGGTGGAGCACGAGTCGTTCGCGAAAGGCTGGCGACTATGGAGAACGTTTATTTGTGATGTGCAGTCAGCTGATCACCTAATTAAAATAACTGAACTGATCTTGAGCAACCATATGTGTTAATTTCACCGCAAATGCTTTTGCCAGCGACCTAACCAGGTTTATCCGCTTACCCCGCATCAATTTCTGCAGTGGGTACCATCTCCTGCAGAGCACCAGCGCTTACAAACGAAGCGTTTCCGCAGGCATCTGACATTCACCCTGAAGTTGGCGCTAGCAGTTTTGCAATCTAATGTGCAGCGACATTGAACTTAAAAAGCTCATCGTGCTTGGAATGTCGCATGTCAGCTTCAGTGAAGGTTCAGGTTACGCATGGCATTTGCATGCTCTGACAGATGCTTTCTTGCAGACTTGTGCTTTGATTCAATTCAAATTCCGGGTTGAATCAAGGATCGCCCAAGTTGTCCCTGAATCAAGCGTGATTCGAATTTTTAGTGTTTGAAGTGATTCTCAATAACCTTATTGTGGTCAGAACCTTGTGGTTCGAATAAGCTGAATCAATTCGATTCAAATTGAATCAGCAACTAGTCATAAGTGCTGTTATAGATGCGAAGTGTGGTGCTGGGTGTATGATGAAGATATATGGCAGCTTGGCTAACCACATTTCTTGCAAGATGTGAAATTTACCTGCTTTTGATTTCAACACGCCGTTTAACTGAAAACATGTAGACAAGGGCTTGTCATTATGTTTTTGTATGCACGGCCATGTCGCCGAAACATTCACAGATGTTTACCATATGCTGAAACTTATTCACCTCATAAAGGTTCACGTCATTAACGGTGTTAAACGTTTTGGAGAATGCCATCATTTTTTCACGCACATCAACAGAACCCTAGAATGATTTGCTAAGGTCATCGGGATGCAGATTATTTACAAATGTTCCGAAAGCTTAGCAGCTCATTGGCTATCACCAATATCTAAATGTTGACGGTGATATTTGGTTGCTCCTGTGTTAAATGCATTAATTTTGACCACGATCGCATCGATTCGAATCAGGTTTCGATCATGTTCTGCTCAATTCATTATCAGAAGTAGCCATGTCAATTTTCTAAATTAATAAAGATTCTGGTCACAAATCGAACGGCATGTCTGATTCGAACGTTCATTCGACTCGCACTTATTGTGAGCCAGAATCGATTCAGTTTCAGAGGAGTTAATCGAGCACGAGCTTGCTGTCCTCCATTGAATTAGCTTAGCTCCCTTGCCCTAAATGATTTCACTTTTTGGCAGCTTTGTCATGTTTCGGCGCCAATCGTAACAAACTGGTGAAACCAACAAACGATGTCGTCATGGTGCGTCGTATATTTCCATATATTTACCTGTAATTGTCGCATGCCGTAAAGCTGCGGCGAAATTCGCGAACGCCGGGTCCGTAACTTCTCGCTTAATAGATGGATGACTTGGCGTGAGAAACATTAAGAGTAATGTTGCGACCCAGTCGTCCCAGGAATGGCCTGCTGTCGATAGTTGATAGCGAACCGCCGCGCCTACCGTGCTGCGGACCATAGTCCCGCAGAATGCTGTGACCTAGAGCATATTCGAATTCAAATCGAGCCCCTCCTAGACTTCGAGAGCTCTCGCTAGACGTTGAGAGCTCCCGCTAGACTTTGAGAGCTTCTCCTAGACTTCGAGAACACCTAGACTTCGAGAGCTCCTGCCAGACTTCAAAGCTCCCGCTAGACTTGGAGAGCTCCTGCTAGATTTGGAGAGCTCCCGTTAGGCTTGAAGAGCTCCCGCTAGATCTCGAGAGCTCCCGCTAGACCTGGAGCTGGAGAACTCCCACTAGACCTGGAGAGCTCCCGCTAGACTTGGAGAGCTCCCGGTAGACTTCGATCGCTGACCCATGTCCCGGAAGTGCCGAATCTGGGGTGAATGTCTGCGCTCTACCAGATCACCTGGCAGCGCACTCAGTCCTGTGATCTTGACCGGGGTGATCCCAATCCTACATGGCCTGATTCCCATCCTCACTCGGCTCGTTCTTGGATCGAGCTGGAGCCCGTTTGGTGTCGGACAGCGTGGTGCGGCGCCAACGTCTCTTTGTGGTCCAGTTCTAAGCGCTGCTTCAGGAGCTGAAATAGGAGACATCATTAGTAGGGGTATCACTGCCCGCGGTCTCCATTGAACCGCGCAGCGGTGCGTGGCGAGGTGGCCTGCTTGCAGCAGAGATGCGGGATGGTGCTGGAGATGCAGCGCTGCCGAAGGGCGCGTTTGCACTGCCCGGCTACTGAGGCACATGCGCCACACCAGGGGGCGGTGAGGCCAGGCGGTGAACATAAGCTGTGATGTTCAGTTCTATTTTGGCGGCATCGATACGATGACGGCTTGTCTTGGGGCCGCTCTTATCCCAGTCCATTATGGTCTTCCGCCGGCGGCGGGGAGTCGGCGCTCATTAAAACACGGCCGGCTCCCCGCGTTGAAAGCCTTTTACCGTCCAGCGGGGGCCGGGCTCGCATCGCTCGCCCCAGATCAAGTTTGAAAGCCCCCGGGAGTCGGGCTGGCTGCTCTTGAATACCATTTCGTAAACGGTGCCGGGGCGAAGTTTTCCGATCCAGTCACCGTGCTTCTGCCTTTCAGGCCGGCGGCAAGTCGAGTAACGGCACGGTCAGCATCCTGGACGTGGTGCCGGAGAGCATCCATCAGCGGTCTCCGATCTTCCTGGGCTCGTCCGAGGACGTGGACGAGGTGCTGGCCTGCATCGCCAAGCACAAGCAGTAGCCGTTGGTGCTGGTGCTATGCTGCCCGGCCAAACGGATCCAGCACTGCCGGCGATAGAGGGTGTAGTTCGGCACCAGGAGACACCCGTTGTGGGTGCAGTGAGGTGTCAGTACTTGGGTGAGTGTAAAGTGACGCCACTGCACCAGTGAGCGTATGATACTCCGTGTTACTCTGGAGTGACAAGACACGCTTGCCGGTTATCTATACTAGCGGGCTTCTTTATTTTTAGACTTTTCGAGGTGACGTAGATCTGTTGAATCAACGCGGCGAAATGCTGTTTTGATATCCAGGATTTTATGAATGTTAACCATTCCACTGTTGCATGGGTATTTGCGCCAAGCGCGTACACATGGCTCCTAAAACCGGCGGTGGTTTTTCAATACACATGGATTCTTCGAAGTCAGTCTTTGACCATCAGCATACGCCTGATTAACTGAGTGCTTCTCACAGATGAAACACTTAGTGGGCTGGAAGTCACGCGACACCACACCACACCACACGACACGAGCTGGGGGGGTCTTTCGGTTACCTGTTCGCGAGATGTGAATATGACAGATTGATGTCGGTGACGCAAACTAGTTGTCCAGGGGGCGGAATGGGGTCCGCGGGTAAGGTAGATCGGCTGCGCTTGGTTGGGTTTCTCTCTGCGTGAACTCGAGTATCACGCGGCTTGATGTGGCTTCTGGTCGTGGATGGAGCCTTCCCCGAATGTGGCCGCTAGCATGTCTGTTGCCTCCTGTTCAGAACATGGGCGGATGGAATGGGATATGACGTGTCATACGGTAGGCCCAAGTCTGGTGGGTATGGGCACCCGTCGGCAGAAGCCTGGGGTCGCTGGGCTAGAATCAGTCTGACGTTCAGGCTGCGCTATTTTAATCATGGGTACAGCGATCCTGCTTAAAAGGGAACCCCGACTAAACGCTTGCGTTCGGTCGCCGCCGATGTTCCAGTGTGTTTCCGTGGTGTTCAGTGCGGCGCTTCTGGGACTTGTGCACCAGTGTTCCACTTCGGGACGAATAAGTAAGCCCTTAAGTGTGTCCTTATCCCCGTAGCGTGTCATTATCCCACTGATGTAACGTTGCGTCATATCGTCTCCGTGCCTAGTGATCCCGAAGCCCATCACTTCTGTGGACGTCGAAGGCGCTTCTTGAATGGCTTCGTAGTCAGGCACTTCAAACACAATAATGCAGCTTGTTCTGGCACTTCCCTGTTGCTGGGGTGCAAGCTGCGACTGTCATTGTATCGTATAATCACGGTTGTCGGTAGGAGAGGAAGGGGGGGGGGGGGGGCACTGAATTCAGAAGGCACTGAGTAACGCCTTCGGCATGTTAGTCTCAATGGTGCAACTAGTTCATTGTGGTCCTTAGAGCATTCCGACCCCATTGACCTTGGCGGCGGAGGCACAGATGCATTAAGTCTCTTGTTGGGCCATGCTGTATTATATCTGCATCCTTCCGTCGTCTCGATGAGCACTCGGGTTTTCAAAAGCTTAGGTCCTTGTGCGGACCAGCGATCCGTCCCCTCCGGGCGTTTCGCGGCTCCGGACATTTTAACTGTCCGTTTACGACCTTGTTGGCGCCTCAGCGTTCCGAGACTATTAGGGACCACGCTGTGATCAACCTTGGATGGAAAAGCTGTATGGCTGCAGGCGGGGGCGCAGTTTTCATTCAGCGTGGGGGGGGGGGGGAGGGAGGCTGGAGCCCCCTAGTCTTGAGAAAAAATGGTCAGATCCGGAAAGATGACATTCTTTTGCTATAGATTTCCTATGCTTTGCCTTTTGTCGTATTTTCGTCGACCCCTCCCGCTTCCTTTTCGCTTTTTTGCAGAAGTGCACAACTGACTTGGCGCAAAGCGGGCAGGGAACAGGCAGAACAATGAACCGCCCCTCAGGTTTTTGAGGAAAAGATATCTGCATTTCAGGGCCGAAATTGGTTACCTATGGTGCGGGAGTAGTAGCGCCTCTGTGCGCGGGATGTCGGCGTGACGTCATTTTTCGTCGGCCAGATCAGCTCGACGCGAACGCGCGAAAAGCGAGCCTGACGCTTGAGCAGACGGCGGAAAGTCTCACTCCGGGGCGGTCGGTGGTGCCAGCTGAGCTGATCCGGCAGTCGTCTGGTTCCAACCGACGTCGCTGACGGTTTACGCCAGGATTCCAGTGTATTTTTGTCGATGGTGAACGGTGGCTGCCGTCGCTGCAGTTGCTCAGCAGCTTGGCAACCGGCGATTTGTGGGCGGTGCGTGGTGCGGGCGGCATGCGGTTGTGGTGCTCGAGGTACCGGAGTCATTGCCATAATATTCCGGCAATAACTACCTGACTGCGGGGAGCAGTGGAGGTGAGAATGGCTGTATGTGGAAGTCTGATGGTGGTGTTGCTTCACTTACTCATGTGTCTCAGGGTCGATGCATGCTCTGTCCGCTAGGGACTTGGGCCCGTGGATGCAATGTCGATCCTGCTTCATTGTGGGTCCAGTTCAGTGCGAAACTGCCCCAGTTTCTTGTCATAAGGAATCTCTGTCACTTACTCCCAGAAAGACATAACTGATGAAATTGTTAGGGCTTGCTGCTGCCATGGAATAGATGAAAACAAAAGTAAGAGCATTAGTGGACTCATTTGCCATGAAGGTTGTGGGCATATGCCTCATCTTTTTATCTAAATGTTGATGTCAATATCTTAAAATTATGACATTGCATGTACTTTGTTATGTATGGTTTGTGCAGGCATAGTGAAGCAAAATGTTTTGTTGTTTTATTTGATAACTACTGCTGTCATGTTACACAGCTATCTGTTGAAGTTACCATGATTTTGCAAGGAACAACTGATTAATCGGTGTACCTTACCTCCCTGCATGCTCTGTGGAGCCAGATGTAAGGTCACCCATTAAATAATTTGTGTTTGAAGCTGTGACACAATAGTGTTTGCAACATCATGTAGAAAACATGAGGATTCATTGCCTGTACTATGTTGGCTTTAATGACTTGCAAGTGCTTATGTAACTGGTCATTAGTACATTTCACTGTCATTCTGGTACCATGTACAAGGTGGCTAAATAAGTAATACCACTTAAAAATGCTGGATTGAAATTCAGCCGATAAACATTTTGATGGCTTCCGGACCTTGTGTGGCGAGAACAATAACATTTTAAATCACAGTGTATGTTTAGCATAAGGTTTGTTGAACAGGTATTTTAGATACATGGATTTATTTTAAAATATGGCATGGGAAGGTGGACTTACAGCCTGTGGAGCTTCACATAGCATTGACACTCATTTGTGCACAGGTGCACACATGTTTCATAACTGTAAGGCAACAGCCATCAGATGATGATAACTATGTGGTGGTAATGCCTTCAATATTTTTCTTAGTGCTTCCTTGTGCCATCTGAGTTGTGGATGGGGAAATATTGGGCATTTAACTGTAGGTGTTAACTCAGCTCAAAAATACTCTCAAATTAGGCTGGCACAGTTGCATCAGCCTGGACAAACAACCATTGCTCAAGAAGTCAACCTGGTGGGCTAAGGACCAAACCCCTGAGTGGTTAATTGCTTGTGTTGCCTTGAGTTTGATGCAGGGGACCCCCTGACCCCACCCCAATCACACTGCAGGACCCACTGACCCCACTCCAGTCACACTTTGGCACCCACTGACCCCACTCCAGTCACACCCCAGGACCCCCTGACCCAACTTCAGTCACCACTCTGCCCCCCCCCCCCTAAGCCTACTATAGTCACACCCCAGGACCCCTGACCCTACCATAGTCACACCTCAGGACCCCTGATTCCACTAAAGTTGCACACCATGACCCCTGACCCCACTCCAGTCACACCCTAGGACCCCTGACCCCACTCCATTTACATCCCAGGACCCCCTTACCCCACTTCAGTCACACCCCAGAACATCCTGGCCCAACTCCAGCCACACCCCAGGACCCCCTAACCCCATTATAGTCACACCCCAGGACCCCTGACCCCACTCCAGTTACATCCCAGGACCCCCTTACCCTTCAGTCACACCCCAGAAACCCCTTGGCCCAACTCCAATCGCACCCCAGGACCCCCTAACCCCATTAAAGTCACACCCCAGGACCCCTGACTCCACTCCAGTCACACCCCAGAACTCCTGACCCCACTCCAGTTACATCCCAGGGCCCCTTACCCCACTTTAGTCACACCCCAGGACCCCCTAACCCCATTATAGTCACACCCCAGGACCCCTGACGCCACTCCAGTCACACCCCAGGACCTCTGACCCCACTCCAGTCACATCTCAGGACCCCCTGACCTGACTCCAGTCACACCCCAGGCAGCAATCAGGGATCATTGATTGAAGAACCATCCCACAACAGAATCTGCATTAATTTTGTCATCCCACTGTGTCTGTTTCCACACTAGACTGGGCTGGATTATTATCCTTTGGGAGCTGGTATCCGGGCCTAGGTTTCCGACCTGCGGTTCGGCTCAGGCACGGTGTTTACGCTCACCGCGGCTCGTTGTCGCGGCAGAAATGCAATCGGAGGGGGAGGGGAGGGGGGGGGGGGCGGTGATTGATGCATGCAGCATTATGACTTGGTAGTGTTGGCAAGGCAACTGGTCCGTTTCTCATTGAATCCCCGTGGGATCCCGGCCCCGCCGTGCGATACCGGCGGGGAGCCGTGGCCTCGCGCTCGCCGCACGTGAGCATAGTTCTCCAGTTTCCGTGGCCGCGCACGGGACTGTGCGCTGGGATCGTGGGAACACCGAGAGTGAGGCAGCGCACACGTGCAAGGCAGGCAGAGCGTACGTTAGAGCGGGAGCGGTGCGGTCGTTCTGTCATATGATGTGCGTGCGCACGTCGTACCGTACGGCACATACCCGCACCCTGGGAGCCGCACACGAGCTGTGCGCCGCTCACGCCCCGCCCGATAGCTGCTCGCTTCATTTCCCCCCCCCCCCCCCTCCCTCAAACCAACATCCAGCGTGCGTCAGTGCAGAATGCCCGGCGTCACCGGAGGCTTGCGGGACGCCGGCTCCGTGCCAAAGACGCTCCGGTAGGTGTCGCCGTCGGCGGGGCGACTAACAGCGGTCCTGTCGAGCCCCGCTCAGGAACGACCCCCGGCTGAGCACCGTGTTCGGCGCGGGCCTCAGAGGCTGGCCGCGTGGCACGCGGAAGCGACTACAAAGACGCGCAGGGCGGAGCGCAGAGGTGACTCGACAGGCTGCCTGAGTTAAACGTCATAGCCCACGTATGACGCTGAGGGTATGGAACTGCTAATCCAACAGCGTCGAATCTGCTGCCATGATTCCGTCCTCCCTGCGCACAAGACAATTTTTACGGTGCTGATATGACACAACAGCGTCTGATTCGTCCCTCCGCAGTCATACAGTTCCTGGGCACGGGGCAGGTCGTAATGGACGCCGGTATGATCCCCTAGTGCATGGTCAGTAGGCGTTGCGCCGTCCTAAAATGTCGAATACGGCGAAGTGGCACTGCAAAGTGTGGGAAAGACCCACCATTAGCTGGCCGGTGGACATTGCGGCGCTCCGAGAGCCGAGAGAAGAGGGCACGGTGCCCGTGTGGCCCTCGGCATGCCTGGCCTGTAGTCATGCACCGCCATGGACACCAGAGGCTCTGCCCGGCGCCAGTGTGCGCTGTGACCCATCACCGGCCGGTCAGTAGCCCGTGGCTGATGACCTGTCGGCCCGGTCCTGTTTGGCCTAGGTTATCAGCTGCGGTCGTAGCCTGCCTGCTGTCGACCGCGGCGGGGACAGACACATGCTCACCAGACGGTGTCACGCATGCGGCCCGCGTGAATCCGACGTAGCGCATCTCTGGGCGGCTTATTGGATAGCGTTCGCAGTGTTAACAGCTATTTTTTACTGAGGCAGCCGCAGTTTGTTTGTTTATCTTGATACGCGAGACTGCTAGTGGGGGTGCCATTATTGGCCCGCTGTGGCGCTGAGTTCCGCCAGAATTCGACAAGCTTCTGGTAAAATACTGCAAATCGCTACGCCTGCTGAAATTTGACGGCAACAAAACCCCCATTCATGCTCTGCTTGGCTGCGTCATCGGCTGGTCGGGCAGCCCTGATGCCCATATTCTGTTCATCACCGTCTGTTCGCCGCCGCGGTGAGTGCCAGCCGCGGCAGCGTCCCTGGCGCGCCGGCTAGCGGCTGCGGCCGGGGCCTCGTTCCGCGCGGGGCTGCCGCCGCGTCGCCCGGCGCCGGCAGCCCCGGCCGTCGACGTCGACTTGGCGGCCGCTCAGGCGTCGGACGGCCGGCCGTGAGGGGCGTCTGTTGTGATGCGCCGCGCTCCCCTGAGGCGGCCGCGCTGCCGCGGCTGGCCGTGGCCGCGCCGCCATCCAACGGCACCGCATCGCTTCTTCGCACTCTCTCCCTGCGTACTACTCGCGATACACCGCGGCACGCAAAGCGCATAGCCGGGATCTTTCTGGTTGTAATGTTATTATGCATGCCGTGATGGTGGTGACGATGGTCCATTAGATACATTAGCTCGCGGCGAGGTTTGCATGACGCACAGTCGTGACTTTTGTGTCACGTTTGCGCGGTATTTGCGACGCTGGCAAACATCTTGTGGCTGGATACAGCGGTATCTGTTATGCATTGGTAGCCTGTGGGGGGTCTGCGTCGGCACATTTGACCGGCTACTGAGCTTTCGTCGGGCTTGGCGGGCTTCTGCGAAGCCACCCGCTGGCTTGCACACATCGCGGTCAGGGCTGGGCATTTTCGAGGGCGTTGGCGAGGCTCCGTGCATGCTGGGTCCTTTAAAGAGCTTGAACACTTCGGATTTCGCGGGGGGTTTGTGCATATCCAGCTACTGCCAGGATAGAATCGCCGGCCTGAAAGGCGTTACAGAGGTGGCCTAGTGCATTGTTAGACTGATAATGTGCGAAGGATAGCGGTTTGTGGTGAGCTTGACAGAGACTCCAGTCAATTCAGTGGAATACCGGCGCCGACCCACAGGGGTACGCTCCCGTTGCACCTCAATCCGTGAATAAAGATAATCGTCTTTCTCGACTGTTCACGCTTGCTCGCCATCGCTGGCGGCGCCGTCAAGCCTCCGCCGTCGCCCATCATCACCACCGTAGGCTGTACGGGCGCCAGCTGGGTGGACCGCCGAGAGCCAAGTGCTGCTACGTAGCGCCGCCTCATAGCGTGCCACAAGACCGTCACAGGTGCCTCGGCTGAATCAACACACCAACTTCAGGGCCCCCGAAATGAACACGGTCGCCATTTGCATGGGGTAGTTCAAAGCAACCCTTGGGAGTTATGCCGATAGCAATGGCTGCAAATCCACTCGTATTCCGGTGATATTGTCTACAAAACCTCCTTTGTGGTG